CGACTACTACTAGTAGTAGTAGTAGTACTACTACTACTGCTACTACTACTACTACGACTACTACTACTACTACTACTACTACTACTACTACTACTACTACACTACTACTACTACCATTACTACTACTACTACTACTACTACTACTACTACTACTACTACTACTGCTGTTACTACTACGACAATTGCCGCTGCTACTACTACTACTATTACTACTACTACTACTACTACTACTACTACTATTATTAGTACTACCACTACTAGCACACTATTACCACTGTTGTTGCTACTACAATAACTGCTACTACTACTACTACTACTACTACTACTACTACTACTACTACTACTACTACTACTACTACTACTACTACTACTACTACTACTACTACTACTACTACTACTACTACTACTACTTGCTGCTGCTACTACTACTACTACTACTACTACTACTACTACTACTACTACTATACTACTACTACTACTACACTATTACCACTACTACTACTACTACTACTACTACTACTACTACTACTACTACTACTACTACTACTACTACTACTACTACTACTACTACTACTACTACTACTACTACTACTACTACGACTACGACTACGACTACGACTACGACTACGACTACGACTACGACTACGACTACGACTACGACTACTATTATTACTCTTACTACTACTACTACTACTACTACTACTACTACTACTACTACTACTACTACTAGTACTACTACTACTACTACGAGGATATCGAGCGCGCGCGCGAGCTTTAGAACGTGCAGAGTGTTGGCAATCACATCACCATCATCGTCAGCATCATCATCTTCATCATCATCATCATCACATCATCATCATCATCATCATCATCATCATCATCATCATCATAATCATCATCATCATCATCATCATTATCGTCATCACCATTATCATCATCATCATCATCATCATCATCACCGTCGTCATCCTCAATGTCCTTTCTGCTGCGATTTGCCGGGAAAGCGTTTATATTCTTCCCTGGACCCAGAATTTTGTTAACCCCCAGGATTCCATTTCAGGGGGATAGGGTTACTCCGTGATTCATCGGCTCGGGCCCGAAGTGGCGAGAGGGCCGTTGTCGGACGTGGACATGCGCTCCTCACAGGCCTGCCCCAGTGGACACTCGTCCCAAAGGTGGACGGGTGCTGGGGCTGGGGCAGCAGGAGGAGGAGGAGAAGGAGGAGGAGAAGGAGAAGGAGGAGCATGATGAGTTGGAGGAGCGAGCAGGTTCGAGGTGTGTTGGGCGTTCGTGGCTCCTTCCTGGGCTTCTGGTGGCCTCGGCCGGAGTCCGTCGACTCGTCAAACGATCTATGCATTTGCACCGATCTTGGCCAGGCCGTTCTTGGGCGCGGGATTCGTTTTTGTTATACTGTCCTTGTGGATCAGGGGAGAGCCGGGAGGGTTAGACTAGAAGAGGGGAGGGGAGGCTTTTCCTCCCCTCCCTTCCTGCTCGTTGCGGTTTCGTTCCCTCCTCTAGGGCGTCCTGGTTCCTCGGAGGCGCTCTGTGCATCATGGGACGGAGAGGCCTGTTGCAGTAAACGAACTCCCGCTATTCGTCCTCATCCGCCAGCCAGCCTGCAGGGGCGGAAGCAGGGAGTCGCCTTGAAGGATAGATCTTGAGCCCTTCTGCTGACGGCCCCAGGGCCCGTCGAGAGGGCACCCCAGGCGGCGAAAGCTCCCAGGGACCCCTCTCTTCAGGGACAACGTTAGGGGGGGGGGGGGGGGGGGAAACGCAGATAGGGACCTGATGGCCCAACCCGCCCAGGAACGAAGGTTTCGCTATTGGAGGCCTATCGCCGAATCGGCGATGCGTCGCCGATTCTAGCTCGATGTTTCCCCCGCGGTCGCCGGTTCCACCCCCTGACGTTGCCCCTCACCACCGCTGGCCCGCACCGCCTTCACGCTAGGGGCAGGATCGACCCCCCGCGCGCGCAGCCGCGCCCTTTTCTTGGCCGGGTTGGGCCCGATCGCCGCGCGCACGGCGCGCGCCCGCGCGCGCGCGAGGTGCCGCGGGCGCGCGAGGGCCCGCGAGCGCGGAGGGGCCGCAGCGCGCGCGGGCCCGCCGGGAGACGATGCCATTTGGGTGCGGCGGCCGGCCGCCGCTGCGGCGGCTCGGGGCGCGGCGCGCTCTCGCTCCCGCGCGCCCTCCGCGGCGCTCTCTCGCGGCCGCGGCAGGCGTGGACCGCCGCCGGGCGTCGTCAGCGTCGGCGTCGTCGGCTCAGGGGCAACGTCAGGGGGTGACGTCGACGTCGGCGCCGCAGCTGGGCGTCGTTGGCGTCGGCGTCGTCGGCGTCGTCGGCTCAGGGGATGACGCATCGACCCATCATCGCCCGTGGATCGCCGCCGAGGAACTCGCGCAGTCGTCACCGGGGCTTCCCGCAGAAGTGGTGAAATGAGTCGCAGTGTTTGGATGGAGGGTCCCCGTGGGGTTCTGGCAGGGGCCCCGTTCCGAGGCGCCGGCGGAGGTGGCCCTGCGGATACCGTCGGCCGGCGGTCCTGGCACCCGCAAGGGGGCCCCGCGGGCCCCTTGGCCCTCCGATCAGGGCCCCAGGCGGCCACCCGGAGCTGCCTCGCGGTGGCCTCCAGATCGGTGGTCCTCGGGCCGTGTGCCACGGTCGGGGGCGCTTGCTTAGCGTGTCGCGCCGCCGGTCCTGGCCTACCAACCCAACATGCTCGCGTCGTGAAGACAAAAGGCGGGATGTTTTTAGCCGCTTTCGGCTCTTGGGGGCCCTCACAAAGCAAGCAATTCTTTTGAATGGAAAGTCGGCCCTGCAGGGAAAGGGTCACGAATGTTGGGGACTCCATATGGAAAAACTCAAGATATCGCATGTCTGGACTCGCCTCTGTGCGGCACGCTAACCACGCCCCAGTCCCCAGAAGACAAGCTCGAGTTCTTTCCAGACGCCAAGCCTGCGGAGCTGCGATATCCGCTTGCAGGGGATACCGTGTCGCTGGGGCCGCCGCCGCGACACGCTAAGCATCGATTAGCTCTCACCGTAGTCCTGTGCGTGTGCGTGAGTGGGTGTGGGAATGTGAATGTGAATGTCAATGTGAATCCGAGTGTGAATTCGAATGGTAAAGTGGAAGTTTTTGTGTATATGTGTGTCTGCCCCGTGCAGCTCCCGACAGCATGCAGCTTGTGTCGGCTCTGATTAACGGGGGGCGTTGGAGAAGGGGGTGAGGACTGGACGGGAACGTCAGAGATGTTATGGCCGGGGCAATGGTGTAATCATCTCAGACTTCACGGCGCCCTATTCTTCTTGCAACGCCCCCTTTCGTCCGCGCACATACTTTGGGCCATGACGCGCCCATACCCTCTTCCTGGCCCCCTCTTCGGCGCTCCCGAGTCCAGCTCCACTGATGACATGCAGCCTGTGTCGGCCCTCATTACATCGCGTGCGTCGCATCGACGGTCTTTGGGGGACGGGCGGACGTTGTCGCCAGCGCACGTTCTGAGGATCACCGACGAGAGCTCCGGGCTCCCCAAGTGGGGCCCCGAGTGGATGGTGTCGGAGATCGCGCCGCACCGCCGATGAATCGGCGATGCGGCGCAATATAGAGCCCGATTTTCTTCACGCAGGCACCGATGCATCGGCAATGTAGCGCGATCCTCCATCCCCATGCAATTACTCCGGCCCCGCTGAAGACGATTTCGAGGATGACCCCACGGGCGTTGTCCCAAGGCCCCTGGAGCTCTTGCGGAGGCCTCGAGGAGAAGGGGGAAGAGGAGCAGGAGGAGATGGAACGGATCCAAGCAGGACGCTGGAAGCGTGCTGCACTCGTGCACGCGGGCGAAGTTTTGGCATGAAGGAAGATGGTCCTGAGGGAAGCGGGTCCTGGACCTTGGGGTCTTCCCCCAGGACAGGTTGTCCATCTTGGGAGCGGCCCGGAATGCTGGAGAGTAGGGAAATGTCACCAGGACATGTTTTGCATCGGGGTCCCAGTCCTTCACGTCTAGAGGATGATCCATCTCTCTCACGACGTGTATGTTTCGCAACGTGGCTCCCCAGGTTTGGACCATCTTTCCTCAAGACCAGTTTTCTATCTCGAGTCGTCTTTCGACGGCCCCGGGCCGGGTGAGGGCCCCCCTGAGGCCGAAACTCGCCGAAGCCCGCCCGTCACGATTTTTCACGACGTGAGGTCATCAGAGAAGGCGGAGGAATGGAGGAGGTGGAGGACGAGCAGGAGGAGGAGGAGAGATAGGAGGTGAAGCACTTGGTGTTAGGTGCGCCCTGAGAGGGATTGCGATGTCCGTGCGGCTTCAGCCTGAGGCTGTTCAATTCCCCCACCTTCCCCACTCCTTCCTGTCCCCGCCTCTGCCTGCTAGGACGTGTGGACTCGCCCCGACGCTTCCGAGAGGAAGGAGGTGAAGGCGGAGGAGGATTGGGGGACGAGATCTATACATATCCGCCGCCCCTGGCCAGACCCATCCTGGGCCCAGGATCAATGCGCGGCCCCAAAAAGGTCCCGACCCCTTCCCCAGGGCCGGCTATTCGCCACGGGGGCATTTTTGGTGGTCTTGGGGCCTGACACCGGGCCCCAGAGGCCCACACCGACGAAAAGCGGGCGGTGGAACAAACCACATCGTCGGAGGTGAGGCTGTAGCCTTCGTCGCCCTGGGAGGAGGCGCCGGGCGCAGGGCTGCGGAGGTCGTGGCTGGCCCGAGCCGGTTCGATTCCGATACCCGACGGTCCGATGCGGCCCGATGCTTTCATGACGCTGTTGTGCATTTTGGCGCGTCTGATCCGATTCGATCCCGATTCCTTGCCGATTCGTCTCCTTGCCGATGTGGCCCGATCCAACATACGTTCCGATCCGACCCGATGGTTGATCCTGTCCCCTCTGGCTCTTCGCGCTGGTGGTGTCGCTCGTCCGCAGAGATCCGATATGTTATTGTTGCCCAGTGCGGAGTCCCCAGAAGTCCCGACCCTTTTCCCAGTCCCAGTTTTGCACCCCGAGTCGGTTTTTGACGGTCGCGGAGCCCGGCGAGGGCCCGAAAACTACGATCAACCTCATATGGATCAACTCGCTGGAGGCCTGGGTCCTTGCTCCTAGGCGCGGGGCCGCGGCGGTCGTGGGTGGACCACGGGCCCCAGTGCAGCTTCCCGCTGCAGAACTTGCCGTACGGGGTCTTCTCCTGCGCTGGGCGCGGGCCGAGGTGCGCCACGGCCATTGGAGGGGCCGGGGCAGGGCCCACTGCGATGCCGACCGATCCGACGTGATCCATATCCGTATCCACGCCCCCGATGCTCGAGTTTCTAGGTATTCGACCGTTTTCGTCGTCACTCGGCGATTCTCCAGCCTCGGAGTGGTCTCCAGCAGCTGCGCCTCGCCGAGGGCGTTCCTGAGGTGCCCAGATCGTCCCGAACGGCCGCGAGAGGCCGGAAAACGACCTGGGGCCCAGATCTCCAGCGACATGTTTTTTTTAAGCGGCGGTGTTTCTTAGATTTCTTCCTCTGGGGCCCGTTGTTGGGCCCCAGGACCATCAGGAACGGATCCTGGGGAGGGGTCGGGGCCTCTGGGGCCGCGCATTGAAAACGTCAGAGCGGAGGATGCTCGATCCGATTCGATGTATCGCTGTCATCCCTGTCCTGAGATCCGGGCGCTGCTATTTTTTACACCGGGCGGTCTCGCAGGGCTTCGGGCCTTCGGGCCATCACATGCCGATCCGGCTCTGAAAGTGCTGCAGAAAGATGGGGTGTGGGGCTCCGGTCGTGATTTTCGCGACGCTGAATTTTTGTCGCAGCGTCGGATCTCAAGGGATGTCGATTTGATTGTGTGCGTGTGTGGTTTCGGGCTCTGGCGTATACAACGCAACGCAATACAAGAAATTGACTGCGAAGCAATGCAAAACAAAGCACGGTTTGGCATTGCTTTGTATTGTTGTCGTTGCTCTGCGTTGTTTGGCATTGGTGTCCATTGTTTCTTGGCATGACTTGGCGTTGCCTGGTATTGCTTCGAATTCTTGCTTGGCATCGCTTGGCGTTGCTTGGCATCGCTTGGCGTATGTCGGCATTGCATGGCATTGCTTGACATTACATGACATTGCTTGACATTGCTCCGCATTGCTTGGCATTCCTGGATGACGCTTGGCATTGCTTGGAGTTGCGTGGCGTTACCTGTCATTGCGTTGCTTCATTGCTTGGCATTGCTTCGCATTCCTGCGCATTGCTCGGCAGTGCTTGGTATTGCTTTGAGTTGCCAGGCATTGCAACGACCGGGGAGCCCTGGGAACAAGACTTTGGATTCCAAGGACCACGACCCGAGAACCCGAGAAGCAACTAAACAGGGGATTCGGGAAACGACCAGGGAGCCCACCGAATCAGACGCGGGAGCCCGAGCAGCAACTAAAACGAGGAAACCGAGCAACGCTTAGCACCCCGCGGCTACTGGTTCTGTAACAAAACAAGTAAGAGTCCGTCAGGCAAAGAAAGCCTGATATTGGCGGCAACCCAAAGAGGGCAACGAGGGTGGCGCGAGGGGGGGAGGGTTGTAAGAAGGCGGTGGTGCTTCCAAAAAGGCCTGGGTGGCTTCTTAGAAGCCAGAAGCCCGCCCGGCTTCCGGGGCCTTCGAGTAAGCTCGCTCAGGCCTTCTTGGAAGCCCCGCTGCCTTCTTAGAAGTCCACCCGGTCGCGACACCCTCTTTGGGGCGCCGCCAATACTGTGGGGGCGTTCGTCAAGAGATGCGCCCAGAAGGTCTCAGACCCTGGAGGATCCCTCGTCTGATGAAGGCGACGGTGTCATCCATGGCCAAGGCTCAATTGAGCGACGCAGAAGAAACGAGATCGTCTTCGCCGACACTGGCGCGTAAGCTGCCCGCGTAAGGTTGCGCGTAAGCGCCCTCGTCTCGTCTCCAATGCAGGGTGCCGCGCCGGCGGCCCGCGTAAGCCGCGACGTAAGGTCGCTAAGTCATCTCTCGTAAGACCCGTTTTCGATCGTCGCTCAATTTTCGTTTCAGCGGCTTCGAGGCCTTGGATTCCTGATCCAATGGTTCCTTATCCAGCGCCCTCGGTCCGTGCCATGCTTGGCAGGCCTCGCGGGGCCGACCATTATGGCGATGCCGCTGCGCGCACCCAGGAAGCTTTCGACGGGCGCGGCGCGGCTTTTGCGGTAGAAAGCTACATTGCGATACGAGTGCGATAGACAACAAACAAAGTGCGATACACGTGCTTGTATCACAGCCGTTTCTATCGCACTTCAGTTCTGTTCATGGTGCTTCAGATGCAGCGTAGGTCCCAGGGTCGATACCCTCCAGGGTTCTTCTGTACGTCCCAGCTGCCGTGGAGCCGATCCTTTGTCTTCCTTGTCCGCGGTGCGGGATAGCCCCCATAAGGGGCAGCCCGTAAGGGCTTCGCCCCCATGCCGCCGGCCCCCTCTCTCGGAGAATGGGCCATGGAAGAGCTAAGTCATGAGGCCTTGGCGCTGTCGTGAAGCAGTATCGAAACTTCATGCGAAGCCGATTCGCAATCAGCAAAACCAACTGATCACAAGAGGGGTTACCACACCTGGCGATTGGTAAGACGTGTATGGTTTACGGGCTTGGTTACCACACCTTGCGATTAAAGGGCCGAGGGAGTTCTCGCAGTTTGGATTACCACGCCTTGCGATGGATGTGCGTGAAGGGTGGCACCGAATTTCAGAAATGTGGCAAATCCCTGTGTTTTTGGACCCTGACCCCGCGGATCTGCGTGAGGGGTGGCACCGAATTTCAGAAATGTGGCAAATCCCCTGTGTTTTTGGACCCTGACCCCGCGGATCTGCGTGAGGGGTGGCACCGAATTTCAGAAATGTGGCAAATCCCATGTGTTTTTGGACCCTGACCCCGCGGATCTGCGTGAGGGGTGGCACCGAATTTCAGAAATGTGGCAAATCCCATGTGTTTTTGGACCCTGACCCCGCGGATCTGCGTGAGGGGTGGCACCGAATTTCAGAAATGTGGCAAATCCCCTGTGTTTTTGGACCCTGACCCCGCGGATCTGCGTGAGGGGTGGCACCGAATTTCAGAAATGTGGCAAATCCCTGTGTTTTTGGACCCTGACCCCGCGGATCTGCGTGAGGGGTGGCACCGAATTTCAGAAATGTGGCAAATCCCCTGTGTTTTTGGACCCTGACCCCGCGGATCTGCGTGAGGGGTGGCACCGAATTTCAGAAATGTGGCAAATCCCCAGTGTTTTTGGACCCTGACCCCGCGGATCTGCGTGAGGGGTGGCACCGAATTTCAGAAATGTGGCAAATCCCATGTGTTTTTGGACCCTGACCCCGCGGATATGTGTGAGGGGTGTCGATTTCGAGCCCCCCGAGCAATTCAGACAACGCGCCCAGGGGGTGCTAAAAAGCCGGTTTTGGCTTTCCCCCCCCCTCGCGCGGTCAATCAACTAGTTACAGTAACCAGCAATAAGTCAACTAGTTACAGTAACCAGCAAGAAGCAGAACTGTAACACTGGAAACTACAACCTACGACTGGTACAGGAAACTGCGAATCACGGGCCTACAGCCTGGTGGCCCCACAAGGGGGCCGGCGGATCCATCCTTTCATGTTTCGTTGCTAATCCTGCCGAAGGATACAACCATATGCAGCTGTGAGTAACGCTGTTGTGAGCATCATCTTAGGTGGAGCTTCCTATGGGGTCACGAGGCGTGTGAGAGGTGTGCCAAAACGGGAGCAACGGCCACATGCAGAAACTGCCTCTGGGGCCTCAGGTGGAGTTCCTTATGGGGCCACGAAGCGTGTGAGGAGTGTGCTGAAACGGTAGTGACGCCCACATGCGGACCCTGCCACTGGGGCCATGGGTGGAGCTCCCTATGGGGCCACGAAGTGTGTCAGGGGTGTCGAAACGGGCGTGACGCCCACATGCGGACCCTGCCACTGGGGCCATGGGTGGAGCTCCTCATGGGGCCACGAAGCGCGTGAGGTGTGTGCCGACGTGGACATGATGAGATTGATGCTGCTAATGACGATGATGCTGACTATCATGATGGCGATGGGAAAACGCGGAGGGCAGAGACAGGGATGGGAGGAGGGGGCAGCGGGATGGGAGGAGTGAGACGCGGGGCGCTGTCTCTCTAAAACGGGGACCCAACACCACAGGATGGTTGGGGAAAAAGTGGAGCCGACCCCACCTCTCCGTCCTTCGCTGCCGTGGCTTTGGGGGCCACTGGGCGGTCGGCCAGGGCTCGCGACAGGGCCTTGGCTGACTCCTCTCCGACTGCAGCCTTCCACATCTCTGCCAGTCCACAGCTGCACTGCTCCCCCTCTGCCGCCTGCCTATGTCTGCCAGTCCCCAGCTGCTCTGCGCTGTTCCCCCCCACTCTCTCCTGGACATCCGACGTCGCGCTTTATCGAAAACCTCGCTCCCCAGAGGTCCGGACCCTTCCCTGGGGGCTGGCTTTCCATCCCGAGTCGTCTTGTCACCTTCCCAGGGCCCGTCGTGAGCTCTTGAATGCCGAAAGCTAGCAAAAACTAGGCCGTCGTGAGTTTTTGGTCGACGACGCGAGGGTGTCAGGGACTGTGGTCCACCTCCTTTGATTCGGGCGACGAGAACTTTCCACGCATGCGCTGGTCCAGTGTCGGCGTAGATGCCTCCTTTGCTAAGCCAGGAGTGCGTACCGAGACAAGCGCTGTCGTGATGTTTCAATAGAGGGTCCCTGGAAGGCCTGACCCGTTCCCCAATTCCCAGTTTTTCATCCCGAGTTGCTCTTCGACGGTCCTGGGGCTTGGCGAGTGCACCCAGAGGCCAATATCTGCCAACAGATATCCCGCCGTGCCTTTTTCACGACGCGAGCACGTCTGGGTATGCACCGCTCCTGGGCCCAGGATGGACCTGGCCAGGATCGGTTAATGCGCGCACGGTCGCGGAATGTGGGTCCGCGTGTCGTTCCGCCGGGTGTTGCCCACGCCTCCACGTCCCAGCCCCCCAGCGTCAACGTCTCGAGCTGTTCCCAGCACCCAGCCCCACGGAGCGCAGGGACACGCCGTCCGCTTGCAAGGCATCGCGTGTAGCCGGGGCCGCCGCAGCGACAAGCGACGCAGAAGGTCCCGACCGGACGGTCGGACCGAGGTATCAGATCGAGGTCGGGTCGGCGGAGGGTGCCCTCTTGTCCTGTGTTTGTTGGATGCTCTTGTGCATCCTGGGGAGGGTACCCTTGGATGCTCTGTGTGTTTTGGCCGGCGGAGGGCCTCTTGCTCTTGAATGCTCTTCCTCTGTCCCAGGCCCGACCGCAGTTCTCTTTCCTCTGCTGCCTGGCGCCTGCCTGGCGCCCCCCCCCCGGGCGCGGGAGGGGATCTGGCCGTGGACCTCTCCGCCCTCGCGGACGCGGGCCTGCTCGCGGAGCTGCCCTTCCATGCGGGCTCCGTGTTCCGCCGGCCAGAGCTCAACGCCTTCATGGCGCTGAGCCGCCCCGCCTGGCTGTCAGGGGCAGCGCCAAGAGGGGTACCCTGGGATCTGGGCGCTGCTGTGTTTTGCACCGGGAGTCTTCGCCAGGTCTGCCGGGCCCTGGGGCCATCACAGATCGATCCCGTTCGGAAGTTGCAGCAGATAGAGGGGGTCCGGGGCCCCAGCAGTGATTTGTCGCGATGTTGCAGTTTTTCCGCAGCGTCGGATCTCAGGGGGTGGGCTCAGGTGGGGATGCGTCGGCCCGCAATCGCCCATCGACCGCCGGCCGGTAGGGGCCGAGGGCCGATGGCCCACGCTATCGGATACCCATCGCCGATCTATCGGCTGGGTATCGCCGATTCCAGCTCGGTGCCTTCCCCCCGAGCCGCTCCCCCGAACTGTTGTTGCCCCTCAGGCTGGCCACCCGCGCGCGGCTCCAGGAATCGGGTCAGACGTCACCTGATCACCTCACCGATGTTCTCCGGGCCCATCCTTGGCCCAGGATCGGTGCGCCCAGATCTCGAGCAGCATGTTTTGTTGTCCATCCCGTCGCGTTTTCCATATCTCTGCATCAGGGGCCCGGTCTCACTCTATTGGACACTTTCACATGGATCCGTTACGCAAGCAGCCCTTCCCCAAGGGAAGGGAGGGACCTCTGAGGCCGTGGATCGGCAAAAGACACCGTGGGATGTCTGTGTTGTGTAATGAATGCGCCCTCCTGGCTTGGCCACGGAGGCGCATGCACCGATCCTTCAGGATGCAACTCCTGGAAATTCAGCATCGGTGCTGGTATATCCGTGGTCGAAAGCTGGCCAAATCCGACATGATCCCGTTCAGTCCGGCTTGCCCTGCCTTAACCTGGCTTGCGCGGGATCAGATGCAGTTTGGGCAACTCCAGCTTAATGGCCCTTTTCCCCAAACAGTGCTTGCTAGTAGGGTTTCTTCATTCTGTTCTAGGGAGCTGGCCCTCATTGTCGGTCTGGGGCCATGTTGTCGCCGCCCCGTCACCGCCTCGTCGCCGCCCGTCGTCTGGGCCTGATTGTCGGTCTGGTGGCTATGTTGTCGCCGTCGCTTCCCTGTCGTCGCCTCATTGCCGCCCCTCGTCTGGGCCTGATTGCCAGTCTGGCGACTATGTTGTCGCCGTCGCCGCCGCGTCGCCGCCTCGTCGCGGCGTTGCGTTACTTTGCATCCATTGTTTTCCATTGTTTTGCGCTGGTTTGCAAAGCACTGCTTTACATTGCTTCTCATTGCTCTTTGTTGCTTTGCATTGCAATGCTTTGCATTGTTTTGGATTGCTTCTCATTGCTTTGTGATGCTCTGCGCTGATTTGCATTATGTTGCGTTGCTTTGCGCTGCTTTGCGCTAATTTGCATTGATTGGTTTACCTTACTCTGCATCGCTTCACATTGCATGATTTTGCAGTGTGACACAGTGCTGTGCTTTGCTGTCCTTTGCGCCGCTTCACACTGCATTATTTCGCCTCACGGCACATTTCTTCGTATTGTTCTACATTGCTTCACATTGTTTCGAATCGCTCTGAATTGCTCTGCATTGCTTGTAACTGCTTTATGTCGCTTTGCATTGTTGGTATCGCTTGGCACCACATAGATTGCAGCACCGCTCTTGCTGCACCCCCTAGATTGCACCACATTGGCTGCACCACTTTGGCCGCACCGCGTAGATTGCATGAAATCATTGTCTGGCATTGTCTGGGGCCCACGCCTGCGAGCACACTCTGGTTTCGTAGCCCTTCATGGTCCTGACGAAGACCGCCCAGAAGTTGCCTCCTGAAATCCCCGGCCCTGTGACCGCACTGGCCAGGCTCGACGAGGTGGTCGGCTGGAGCCGCCCCGCAGGAGCTGCTGGCGGCAGACGGCGACGAGCGCCTGCGGCGCGACGAGGGCCTGCGGCGGGCGGCGCTGCGGCCGCTGTCGGAGGTGGCGATGCACCTGCCTGCGCGGATCGGCGACTACACGGACTTCTACGCGTCCCGCGAGCACGCGACGAACGTGGGCATTCGCCGAAGAGCAAGTTGCACAAGCATGATGTTGTCAGAGGTCCGCGCGGATTTCTTAGATCTGCGCCGGGCCGCGCCTACAGCGCCGTCCCTGGCGCGCTCCGCGCGCCTGGGAGGAGGGCCCATCTCAGATCCAGGAAATCCGCGCGGTCATCTGAAAGGTGCATGTTCGTGCAGCTTTTTCTTCTTCGAGGCATAATGTTCCGCGGTCGCGACAATGCTCTGCAGCCGAACTGGCTGCACCTCCCAGTCGGCTACCACGGCCGCGCCTCCAGCGTGGTCGTCAGCGGCACCCCGTTCGCGCGGCCGAGGGGCCAGCTGCAGGTCAACAGAGATAACCCTGCCGAGGGCTCCACCTATGGGCCCTGCAAGCTGCTCGACTACGAGCTCGAGATGGGCATCTTCCTCGGCGGCGAGCTGCCGCCCATGGGGAGGCCGGTGACCGTAGAGGAGGCCGAGGAGCACATCTTCGGCTACGTCCTGCTGAACGACTGGTCCGCAAGAGACATCCAGGCCTGGGAGTACGTGCCCCTTGGCCCCTTCACGGCGAAAAGCTTTGCCACGACGATCTCGCCCTGGATCGTCACGCCGGAGGCCCTGGCGCCCTTCCGTTGTGCCACGTCTGCAGGCGTTCAGGACACTCCCCAGCCCCTGCCGTACCTGCGCGACCCGGACTACAGTTCGTATGATCTCAAGCTCGAGGTCGACATGGTCACGCCCAGCAAAGGATCAGGGGCAATGTCGGGGGAGATAACTAGGCACAGAGGGATGCATCGACCTCCAACTACCCATTCATCGCCCAGAAGGGGCTCGATAGCACACCCCGCCCAGGAGCGTGCGGCTTTGCTATCGGAGGCATGACGGCGATCTATCGGCGAGGCATCGCCGATCTCAGCTCGATGCTTTCCCCTCCCGAGCCGGTCCCCCCCTGTCGCTGCTGCCCCCAGAGGAGGAGAAGGCAGGGTGGTCACCACCATTGCCAAGTCCAACTTCAGCCACATGTACTGGACCTCGCGGCAGATGCTCGCGCACCACTCCGTGGCCGGCTGCCCCATGAGCCCTGGCGACCTGCTCGGAAGCGGCACCATCTCTGGCACTGTGGACGACAGCGGGGGCTCGAGTGTCAACTACGGCTCTCGGGCTGCACGGAAGGGGGGGGGGAGACGGCTCCGATTTCTTCGGCCCGTTCGTACACCGAGGGAAGAAAGCCGGGCCGGCCTTCAAGCCGAGGCCGCTTTCAGAACCGAGGGAAGGGACCTGCTGCGTGCAGCTGGCTTCGGCCCCGCCACCGGGCGCCTCTCCTCGATGCATCGGCGCCGAGAGGTGCCGTGAAGACCAGCTGCGCGGGAGGATTCGCTGACTCGAGCAGTGGCGAAGCGTCCCGACTTGCCTCCAGGCCCGCCAGAGAATGTCCTCAGATCAGTTCTGTGGTTTGCACGAAATGTTATTTGAATCTTGTTGGCCGAGACGATTTCGTTGGAATGCATCGTCTTTCTGTTTTGAGAGACGTGTTTTGTTCTTCGGACATCTTTATGTTCTCGGAACACTCAGTGGTAGGCCCGGGGACGGTCGGTCCCTGCTCGATTGACCCCTCTTGCGCCCCTGCCGCCCCCCTTCCGTCCGAGCCGAGGCTCGCTGCTGGAGCAGACCTGGCGAGGCAAGAACGAGATCACGCTGAGCGATGGGGCCAAGAGGCCCAGAGGGATCAAGCAAGGGCGCCCTCGAGGGCGCGAAGTTATTCGCGCTTCGCGCTTCGGCTCCGATTCCTCCTTATCCTCTTGTCCCGTGGGGGGGGGGCGCGAGAGCGCGAAGTTGTTCGCGCTTCGCGCAGCGCGAAGCGCGAAATTGGGCGCCCTTGTCAAGAGTATCAGGGACACGCGCGTCGTCCCTCAAGCCGCACGTGCTTCTCATCCCCTCCTCGTGCGGAAGCCTGGTACGGTCGGTCCGAGGTATAAGGTCGAGGTCGGCTCGGGGGGTACCTTATTGTTCTTCGTGCTTGCTGGGTGTTCTGGTGCAGTTCCCTCGAGAATGTTTTTCAGCCTGGCCGGCGGAGGGCCTCATGTTCTTGAAGGATGTTCGTCTGTCTTAGGTCCGCCCCTATCAGTGACGCGCGCGTCGTCTCTCAAGCCGTGCGTGTTCCCCACCCTCTCCTCGTGCGGGCACCTGTCAGCAGCCTCCCGCCACTGGGGCTGCCCGACCGGCGCGAATCGGCGGCGCGCCCAGAGGGGAAGGCAGAGGGGCGGGCTTTCTCGGAAGGCTCGGAAGGCTTTCGGCCTTCTGAGAAGCTTTCCTACTGGGCCCAAACATATACACCACCACCACCACCATCTCCCTTCCTCCCTCGCTCTCTCAGGAAGGAGGAGAGGAAGAAGAGGGTAGAGGAGGGAGGAGATATCGACGTGGTGGTGTAATTTCTTGGTGCCCGCATTTCCAAGCCTTCTCCGAAGTTGGGAGCCGTCTGGGGTCTGATGTGGCCCCACACCGTTCCTGCCAGCAGGGGGGGCGGGCAGGTCAGAAACTTGGGGTTCGGGAATGTTTTTTGCTCGCGTTCGGCCTCAAGGGGCAGTTTTTGCTTGCGCCCCGGGAAAATTCAACACGGATCCGGGGTGAAAAGCTGCACCACATGCATTCGGCCTCCTCCTGACCTCTTCTCTGGGTTCCTGGCCAGTTCAGGCCCCCCGGCCGCCTCCAACTCCGAAGCCCCGCCGCCTTCTGAGGAGGCCTGCTCCCTCTCGCTCCGCCCCCCTTCGGCCGTCCGGCCGGCGTGACACCGAATGTTGCCGTAGCCCCTCTCTGGAGAGGAAGTTCATCCAGGACGGCGACGCCGTCGTGATGCGGGGCTACTGCCAGGGCGACGGCTTCCGCGTCGGGCTCCACGGGGGGGCTCCCGAGAGCGAAGGACGAGCTTGGGCGTCCGAAGGCAGCAGATTGCAGTGGCAGCGGCAGGGGCGGATAGGCGCAGGGGGGGATACATCGACCCCCAGTCACCCACTCATCGCCGACGGGGGCCCGATGGCCCACCCCGCCCAGGAGCGCGCGGAGGAGCTGTCGGTGGCCCATCGCCGGTCCATCGGCGAGGCATCGCCGATTCCGGCTCGAGGTTTCCCTTTCGGAGCGGGTCTCCCCCCATCGCTGCCTCTCAGGAAGGGGGGGCGGGGGGGGGGCGGGGGCACCAAAGAGCGCAGCGCGCGTGGGTCTCCGCGGGCAGCAGCTCTGCGCTGGCGCGGGGTCCCGGGGCACCCGCGGAGGCGCAGAGAGGAGCCGCGCGCCGCGGTCCAGGCCAGAGCAGCTGCTCTTTCCCATGAGCGGCGCGGTGGCGCGGAGATGATCGCGCGTTGCGGGTCGCGATGCGCGGAGTTGCAGCAACGGCGATGGCGACCCCCGCCGCCCGCGGCCCCGGCCCCGACGGCAGCGGCGCCCGGCGCCCGGCGCCTCGCTGGCCTCCCCGAGGTTGCCGCGTGTCGATGTCCTCCCGGGAGAGCGGCGGGAAGCGCCACGCCGTGCGCCAGCGCTCGTTCTCGCAGTGCAGTCGACCCGCATAGCAAGGATCAGCACCTCTCCAAGGCTGCCCTTGCATCCTTGCCCCTTCGGCCCATCCTTAGCAACATTCGTCGGCCAACCTCGTTCGAAAAGCGTGAGCATGGCCCTCGAAGGCCCTCGCAATGCGAGGGCACCAGCGCATCCTTATTATATGGGCTGCTCTCCAGGCGCGCATCGCGGCGCGCCAGGCGCCCTAGAGGTACGGAGAGGGAGCCCGCTGGCCGAAGTCTGCCGCCTGCGGCTGCCCCGAGCGGACTGCTGGCATGAGGCCTCAGAACATGAGGAGGGAACGAAAACACACAGACACCATCCAACGTCGATTCCCATGAAAATATGGGAAAATATGGGGGAAATGGGGGGAAGACGGAAACTACAAACACATTGAAACATATGGGGAATCATGGCATTTGTGTCTATTTATTTGTGTGTCTTGGGCCCTTTTCGAGCATCCTGGCCTTGAAAGGGGCGTCCCTCACGCGCGGCGAACATGTCCGTATCAGCGCCCTGGCGATCTGGATTCTGGGGCGCGATCCCGCGGATAAGCGGCCGCACGGATGCGTTCCGCGCTGGGCATCCGCGACAAAAAAAGCGCGCCGTATCCGCTGGGTCTCGGCCCAGGGGCCCGTTCTGCGAGGCCGCGGATACGGAGCTGTCGTTTCGCCCACGAGCCCTTGTGTTCTTCGTGTCTGGGCCCTCGGCATTGGAATTGTTTTTCTTTGGGATCTGAATCGCTTCGCTCATTCTGCTTGCCCATTTGGCATCACGGTGGCTGCATGGTGGTGTGTTCGTACCCATTGGGGGCGGTCGGGCAGGCAGGACTGTTCTCGAGGAGATGTTTGGAGATGTGGCTCGCACCCTGTCGACGCGAGCCGATAGACTGCCGCAGAGAGCGCCAAGATGGCTCAAGAGAGCTCCAGCAGCGTTTCCATACCTACCTGGGTTGTGGGTCAGAGTCCTAATGTATGCTTCTTGGGGTCTCTTCGGAGGGCTCTCGGGGGCCTCTGGGGAGCAGTTTTGAGACCTCTGGGGAGCCTCTGGGAGCCTTCTTGGGGGCCTCTTGGGGCTTCCTGGGGGCCTGTTGGGGCTTCCTGGGGGCCTGTTGGGAGTCTCGGCAGCCTCTTTGGGGGCCTCTAGGCTCTTGGGGACATTTCCTGGGCGCCTCTTGGGGCCCATAGCTCGACATGTCTGTTCGGGTTCCCCCTCTGGACCCCTCTTGGCGCCAATCTGGGGCCGTCTTGGGGGCCTCTTGGGTCATCTTAGGGCTATCTTGGGCCATTTAGGCCCTTTCGGATGCTTTTTGTACAGTTTTGGAGCGATCTTGAGGCCTCTCGGGCTGTCCAGGGCGGTCGGCAGCTCGAAAAGGCGGTACCGCCAAAATCGTCAGAATAACCATGCACAATCCATTTTTTTGTGCGTCTTCGGGGCCTCTCGAGGTCCTCTTGAAACCCTCCTGGAGCGTCTTGGGTGCTCCTTGGGCCGTCGTGGGACTAATGTAGGCCATCTTAAAACGCTCTTGGCCTGATGGCGTGGGGCCTGCCACACATTTGGCGCCTCATCTGGGCGCTCGGGGGGCCCCCGAGGGCGCGCCCAGGAGTCCCGGCATCTCTGGCCATACCTTGCCAGGACCTTGCCGGGGTATTTCTGTCCGCTGACCCTGAGTGGCTGCCACGCGCGCGCGAACTAGAAGCAGCATTGAATTCTTACCAGAGATGTTAGCACGCCTCTGGCCCTTTGAGCCGTCGAATTCCCGTGGGGCTTTGGTCCACTGGCGAAGACGTTCGTGATCTTGCTGTGCGTTCGTGCGGCCATTGTTCAACTGTGCGACCTTCGCGAGTGTTATCTTGCCCTGCCTCCCATGGGGGTGCGGGCGATCGGAGGCCCAGTCATCTTCCCCCCTTCCAGCCTTGGCGCTTCGCCCTTTCTGCTTCGCAGTGGTGGAACGCTCCCCATTTCCTGCGTGACAGTCATGTTGTGGCTTGCTCCCTTGCATCTTGAGCGGTGCCAGTTTCGCACTCGTCTGCCTGCGAGCCCTGCCGGAGGCAAGGCCCATTTAGGAACAGTACATTGCAGTTCGTTGCCCGGACGGGGATAGGACGAGGATAAGTCCGTTCCAGAGCGTTCGGGGACGCTCCCAGAGCGTTCCGCAGCGCTTTGAGCAGGCCGCGGCGCCCGAGACTTCCTCTAGATCCGTGGGATCTCAGAGATTCTCGATTTTGTCCTCGTCCTGGCTTTGTCTTAGTTGTCTTGCCCACGCGCCAAGTTGTGTATGGCTTCTTGTGCAGCCTCGGCCCAGGTTCGGGGAGTGCGCGGGCGAGGTGCTGCCCGCGGGGTCCCTGGACACCGCCCCGCGCGCCCCGGAGGCGCCCGCGGCCTTCGCGGAGCTGAAGGAGGCGCCTCGAAGTCGCCGACGCCGTCGTCGCCGCCGCCGTCGGCGTAATTGTTGTCACCGCCGTCGCCGCCGCCGCCACCGTAATTGTTGTCGCCGCCGCCGTCGTCGCCGCCGCCGTCGTCTTCGTCGTCATTGCGCCGTCGTCGTCGTCGCCGCCGCCGTCGTCATCGTCGTCGTCGTCGTCGCCCGGCGCCCGTCGCCGTCGTCGTCGTCGTCGTCGTCGTCGTCGTCGTCGTCCGGCGCCCGTCGCCTTCGTCGTCGTCGTCCTCGTCCTCGTCCTCGTCCTCGTCGTCGTCGTCGTCGTCATCGTCGTGGTCGTGGTCGTTGTCGCCCGCCGCCGCCGTCGTCGTCGTCGTCGCCAGGCGCCCGTAGCCTTCGTCGTCGTCGTGATATGTATGTGCAGCTGATCGGTCTTTCAAGGGCTTCCAGAATCGGCCATCTGTGCAGCTGATGGAAGCTGCAAGTTTCATTGCCTTAGCGTTTGGGAGGGCAAGACGCCCTTGAGGAGAAGCCGCTTTCAATCATCTTTTTATTCTGCATGGAGTGTAGGAAGGCCACGCGCGAGAACTATGTCATCACAAGGTGGCGCCTTCAATTTACACAGCTGCTGGAGATTTCGAGCTTGATCGTGTCAATGTTGCACTGCGTGCTCTGGCGAGAGCACGCGTTTGAACATGAGCCGCACTTACCCATGTAGTTGTTGGGAGCTTCCACCCTTATGCGAATGGTTCTAGGAGGTTGTAAGCTAAAACTACACTTGGGAAACAAACATCCGCCCACTATTCAAGTAATGTTTGCCAGTTTATGTATACATATATATGTATGTTGCCAGAGAGAAACATGCTTGAGAGGCTGAAGCCGTTTCGGCTCCAGCGCTTTGGAAGAAACAGTCATCCATGGTAACGTGAGCGGATGTACCCCCGTCGCCCAGGGCCGAGGCGGACAACGCTTGCGGAGGGCTCTGAGCCGGTGGTGATCGATCTCGAGGGAGAGGGCCAAGAGGCTTTGGACAAGCCAGGCCTCGAGGAGTTTTGAGCGGTGCTCGTGGTGCGTGTGCTCAGGTTCGCGTTCAAGAGACGGTGTTCGGCACACTTAGGACGTCCGCTGAACGAAATCAAAAGTCTAGGCAGAGATGGCGGCGACGGTCCAGGACGTCCAATCTCTTCGGGAAGCGCTGGCAAGAGTTCAGGCGGAGCTACGACAACAGCGAGAGGAGGCACTCGTCGAAGGTAGAGCGGCGTTGGCAGCACAACAGGCGGCAGACGCTAGACACGGAGGAGCTGCAGCGGCTCCAGACCTTGTTCCTGGGCGTGTGGCTGCATATATGAGGATGATTGGCAAGCCCGAGATGTTCGATGGAGCTACGCCGTTCAGTAGTGTTCGAGGCTTTCGCGGGAGCGACCAACCAGAACATGACGGCGGCGATTGCAAGAGCGAAGAGCGAGCAGGAAACGGTGATGTCGGTCAACCTCGAGCAAGGTGACCAGCAGTTGCCCAGGATGTTGGGCTATTGGCAGACCTAGACATGCCGACGATAGGCGCTGGACGTGGTTTTGAAGACGTGGAGACAGTTGCGCTTGAGGTTCGATCCCCAGGCTCAGGCGGCGAGCAGATACGCGGGACAGTTAATGGCGCTCTCGGCTTGGATTTCAGCGGTGAGATGATGGTTCGCCTGGAAGCCTTTGAGAGGGAGGTTCGCCTTCGCGAGTCTGCGTCGGAGGAGAACCTCCCAGATGCGATCAAGATTGGCATCGTTTTGAGGCAGTTGCCCGAGTTCCCGCTGAGGCAGGCCGCGGTCATGAACGTGGAGAAGCTGCAGGAGTGGTCGAAGTTCCGGGAGGAGATCTTCAACGTTAGACTTGCACGGGCGGCAGCAGCGGAGGCGCAGAACGGAGCCGCCCCGATGGGCCTCTTGGCGCTCAACTGCAGGAGCGGAGGTGGCAAAGCACGCTGCAGGATCTGCTGCGGCGAGGGCCGCGACGAGAAGAACTGCTCAGTTTTGTTGTTTTCCGGCTCCTCCGCGCTCTGTTGCCACCAGTTCTCGCCGCCGGGCTCGATATGGATGGGGCCAAATTCGCCTGGCGAAAAGACCCAAATCTACGCAACTGTGAACGCCGCGATCGTGAATCCCATCTTCGGTGGAGCTTTTTATTGGGGCACGAAGCGTGTGAGGGGTGTCAAATTGGGATGGCGGCGGCACGCGGGCGCTGCCACTGGGGCCTTCGGAGGAACTTCCTATAGGGCCTTCGGCGAGGACCCCTCTGTCCGTGATCTGTTTGATGGGGGGCACGAGGAAAGCCAGGTGTGCCGAAATGAATGGCGGGGACGCATGCGGACTGTGCCACTGGGACCTTCGGCGGAGCTCCTATGGGGCCACGAAACGTGTGAGGGGTGTGCCAAAATGGGTGGCGGGGACGCATGCGGACTGTGCCACTGGGACCTTCGGCGGAGCTCCTATGGGGCCACGAAACGTGTGAGGGGTGTGTCGAAATGAGTGGCGGGGACGCATGCGGACTGTGCCACTGGGACCTTCGGCGGAGCTCCTATGGGGCCACGAAACGTGTGCGGGGTGTGCCGAAATGAGTGGCGGGGACGCATGCGAACTGTGCCACTGGGACCTTCGGCGGAGCTCCTATGGGGCCACGAGACATGTGAGCGGTGTGCCGAAATGAGTGGCGGGAACGCATGCGAACTGTGCCACTGGGACCTTCGGCGGAGCTCCTATGGGGCCACGAGACATGTGAGCGGTGTGCCGAAATGAGTGGCGGGGACGCATGCGAACTGTACCACAGGGACCTTCGACGGAGCTCCCTATGGGGCAACGAAACGTGTGTTGATGTTGATGAATTTGATGATGATGACGATGATGATGCTGATGATGGTGTTGATGATGAGGCTGATGATGATGATTATGATGATGACGTTGATGATGATGATGATGATGGTGACGACGACGACGACGACGACGATGATGATGATGATGATGATGATGATGATGGTGATGATGATGATGATGATGATGATGATGATGATGATGATGATGATGAGAGGGGGGAGGGAGGAGGAAGGAGGAAACGCACGGCGCTGTCTCCTCAAAACGAGGACCCAACACCACATGAGTTGGGAACAAGTGCGATTTGGGATTTTTGGGGCGGCGGCGTGCCGGGGCGTGGTGGTGGGGGGGCCAGGGAGGTTTTTGCAGAGTGGGGACCTCCAAAAACAGACTTTGGTAACTGGGGGGGCGGTCTTGGGAGCCTCTGGGACAGTCGTGGAGCGGTGGAAAGCCGAAAGGGGAAACACATTTTTAAAGTATAAGAGAAATCCGCGATTTGGGCCTCCGGGGGCGGCGGGGTGCCGGGGCGTGGTGGTGGGGGCCGGGGAGTTTCTTGCGGAGTGGGGGGTCCCCAGACTTCCGTAGCTTGGGGAGCGGTCTTGGGAGCCTCTGGAGCGGTCGTGGAGCGGTGGAGCGCCGAAAGGGGAAAACATCGAAACAAATAATGAAAATCAATGGTTGGCCTCTTGGGGCGGCGGGGTGCCAGGGCGCGGTGGGGGGGTCCGGGGAGGTTTTTGCAGAGTGGGGGGTCTCCAAAAACAGACTTCCGTAGCTTGAGGAGCGGTCTTGGGAGCCTCTGGAGCGGTCGTGGAGCGGTGGAACGCCGAAAGGGGAAAGCATTCAAAAAAAAACAATGATCAACAATTGGGGCCTCTTGGGGCGGCGGGGTGCCAGGGCGCGGTGGGGGGGGCCTGGGAGGTTTTTGCAGAGTGGGGGGTCCCCGAAAATAGACTTCCGTAGCTGGAGGGTGCCGGGGTGCGGTGGGGGGTATTGGTAGGCTTCAGGCCAGAGATTGTCGGGTGGGGGGTCTCAAGAACAAAGATCCAGAGGCCTGGGGGCGCCAGGGCTCGGTGGGGGGTATCCGTAAATTTCTGGGAAGAACTTGTCGGGTGGGGGGTCCAAGAACAGAGTTCCAGAGGCTTGGGGGTGCCCGCGCGCGGTGGGGGGTATCGGCAAGTTTCAGGCCAGAAATTGTCGAGTGGGGGCCCCTAGAGCGGAGTTTGAGAGGCCTGGGGGTGCCTGAGCGCGGTGGGGGGCATCGGTCGGTTCCAGGACAAAACTTTCACAACTAATTCAGTGCCGAAAGCTCCAGGAGGCTGGCGGTGTCAGGTGCGGTGGGAGCGAGGTGGGAGCGTGGTGGAGACAGGGTGGGAAGTTCCCAGGGCGATTGTTGCAGGGTGGAATCATGTGGCATGTGCACAAAGGATTCCGCACACGCCTCTGGGGTCGGCGGATTAGTTCTTCATTGCTCGCTGTGTCTTGTTACGTGCGCCATCCTTCTTCCGGAGCCCAGAAGGACTCATCCCCACTCCTGCGAGGGAGAACGAGGAGGAGGAAAACGAGGACGAGTGCGAGAAGGACATCGGAGGAGGAACAGTTGCTGGTCCTACCTACCTCCCCTCGTACTCTCCGCAGCCATTTTGGTCCCAGGTCCGCCCGCCCCAGGCTTCCCCCCCTCGCTTGTCGGGGGCAACGCTGGGCAGGGACACGCTCAGGGGGTGACGCATCGACCCCTGATTGCCCACGGATCGCCGACAGGGTCCCGATGGCCCACCCCGTCCAGGATCCTACCGCCAATTTATCGTCGAGGCATCGCCGCTCCCCCCCGTGAGCCGATCCCCCTGCCGGCCTCACTCGGCCTGGCGAGTCGCAGGCGGGGCGCGGCGCGAGCGGGGGCGACCCTCTTCGGGGGCAGGGGGCTCCCGAGGAGGGGGCGGGCATGTCGACAACGGCCCTGATAGGAGGACCGGAGAGCTTTCTTGCCGGCTGCACGCAGGATCGGGCGGGTGGTCATGGGAGGTGACCCAAATCGGGGTGAAGAAAAGAGCCCCTTGAGGGCCTTGGCTCCAAAAGGGGCCTTAAAGGGCCCCTTCAGGGCCCTTCTCTTCACCCCCCGTTCGGGTCACCCCCCATTGTCACGCGCCCGACAGGAGTGACCCTGGGCCGTG